TCAGTCCTTAGGTATACAGGTTTGTCGATGTCTTGGGATAGCTGTCTACTTCTGTTGTTAGCAGTTTCTCATCCTAGAGGGCTTTGATGACCATGGTAAGTGGAAATGAGTATCAGAGATGGGTGGATGTCCATTTGTGGTTAAGTGCCTGATAAGGGCCCTTCTAATGGAGTTGGAGAGTATCTTTTATTTGATGTCCTTTTCAATAATCAAAATTTTGAAGTCTTTGTTTCCTGGGAGTTCACTGTGAAAGGACGCAGTTACCAACTTGGCATTGTCTTGAAGTGACTCTATTAAACCTTGGCAATAGTGTAAGATGTCTCCTTTCGGTAATGTTAGCCCATAAGTTTCTTCATCTAAGTTCAGCTTAAGTGCTTGTGATGCATGAAGGAATGCAAAAACTGGAAAATGGGGAGCCAGGGAGCAGGGAAAAACCAAGCAGCTGTGTTGTGTTTTCCATAGCCCTAACTCTTCATATTTTTCCCTCTGACTTTCCCTTGCAATTTAACATAAAAGACAAGTCTTTTGATATATTTCAGGGGCCCTTCTGGAACACTGCAAGTTATTTCTGTCTATATTGAAACTTTTCACCTTTAAAACCTCAATTTCTAATGAAAACATCAATTTCTAATGGAAAGCATTCTTTAACTGGACATTTTATAAATCTCTGAAAACATTTTTCATAGACATAAAAATCAGTTATTAACAATGACTTATTTTTGTAAAACCCAGGCAAAATAAAGACATTATGTTTTATTTGAAGCAATAAACTTAAGCAAGTTTTTATTTACTAAGGATTAACCTTAGGTCATATATACTTGAAAAGCATTTGAGTTAGTTTCTATGTTTCTGAGAATTTTAGAATACCCAATTCTCGGAAGTGGTTGACTTTAAATTAATTTTAACAATACCATCCAGAGGTAGAAAATGAGCTCACATTTATAACATACATACATGAAGACACATATAGACAGACACAAAGAGAGAACAGTTGGATCTAAATTCTGTTTAGGAAGCATTTATCATTCATATCTGTCCTTGACAAGTCAAATTCCAAATGACCTTCTCCTTTTAAAATAAGGACAGCCATTGATTGATTGATTGAGTAAAATACATTTTTATTGATTTCAGAGAAGAAGGGGAGAGGGAAAGAAAGATTGAAACAGCAATGATGAGAGGATCATTGGTCGGCTGTAAGCCATTTTTAATATAATAAAAAATTGTTTTATCACCTAAACAACATCAAGGTGATCTGTTTATTTATATCCTCTTTTTGAAGATTCAAGAGACCAATTAAATATGATTTTTATTCATTCTGCCTAATTTTATAGCCAGCTATTCCTAACTGTACATGCAGAAAATCATTTAGAAGTATCAGAGGATCCTCATTTTGGCCATCTTAGTTATAAATGGGAGGCTGACATGATGGGCCTTGTTGACCTGGGTGGCTTGATTTCCCAAGTTAATTTTGAGATTTGTAGAATGTGAACAAATTCTAGGGAAAACTAACCCTTACATGCATGTCTCCAGATGAGATAATTGCAGTAGATATCTTTATAGGACTGCTTTATACCCTAGATAAATTTTTTTTCTCTGGAAACCCCACAAAGATTCTTCGTCATCTAAGAATACTCAAACAAGGGCCAGCAAGTGTTTATGAAATGCAGCAAGAATAGCAATGCTTTCCAAGACACAGCCCCTCTCTCAGATCTCACTCTTTTAGCGTGAACCCATCTCAAGGCTCTCTGTCCTGCCAGGGCTCCTGCATGCTTCTCTGGGACTGGCTGCACTACCTCACTGGCACCTTCTCTGCCTCTCTGGATTCGGAGGTCTGAAGCAACTGGTATTGGGTTGGGGAGCAAGTGTCCTTTCTTTCTCAGAGCTAAAGAGAGCTCAGTCTCTCATTTAATTCGCAGAGATTTTGTTCAGACTCTCAGTAAGCAATCCAATCAAAAAGCTGAAATTACTAGTAAAAGCAGCAACCCACTTTTTCTCCCCTCTCCCCAAGTTATCAATCATTATCCACCTCAAGGATTTTCTAAAAACAATTCAAATAAAGCCATAGCCTGCTACTTAAAGCAAGGAGGCCCAGAATTCACCCAAGTTCACTTGATACAAAGTGGAGAGTCTGTGGGGTACAATGAGCCCTTGCTTTACCTAGTACTGGTCCAGGGCCGCAGGATGGTCCTGGGTGGGCTTCTTCAGAATCCTGTCACACTTTGCCAAGTAAACACCAATGTAAGAAATGTCCAAACCTGTAGAGGATTTTTGTAAGAGTTTATTTGAGCCCAACTGATGGCATATGCCAGGGAGTAAGATCTCATATGCTCCCTAGATAATTTCTTAATACCAAAATTTTTTCTATCTATTTTCCACATCATTTACAATTTAACAAAATTTATAATCTATAAAGTAGATGCTGTCATGGTAAAGCTCAGCCCACTTATAAATATATTTTATGTGGAAATCTTATAAATATTTGACACACACACACACATATATATATAATTGTAACACAAAACTATATGTGACATATACTGCTATTTCAGTGGTGAATTAAATTTTCCAAGTTACTTCATTATCATTTGGTTAACAAAAGCAATAAATGGCTAAGGATACCCATTGTTTGTGGTCTACTAACCATAAGAAGTTTGAATCTATCCTACATTTTATACATATCCTAGAGGCCTGGTGCACGAAATCATGCACTTGTGTGTGTGTGGAGGGGCGGGGCGGGGGGGGGGGTCCCTCAGCCCAGCCTGCACCCTCTTGCAGTCTGGGAGCCCTCCATCAGTCGGACATCCTTAGCGCTGCTGCGGAGGTGGGAGAGACTCCCGCCACTGCTGTTCTTGCCAGCCGTGAGCCCAGCTTCTGGCTGAGTGGTGCTCCCCCTGTGGGAGCACACTGACTATCAGGGGACAGCTCCTGCTTTGAGTGTCTGCCCCCTGGGGGTCAGTGCACATCATAGCAATTAGTCGTTCTGCCATTCAGTCCATTTGCACATTAGCCTTTTATTATATAAGACTAAAGGCCTGGTGCATAAAAATTCATGCTTTGGAGGTGAGTCCCTCAGCCCAGCCTGCCCCTTCTCACAGTCTGGGAGCCCTCAAGGGCAGAAGGTGACCTGACGATCAGGCGAAGGTGATGCCCCCATCATACCTCTGCTGCTGCCACTGCCAGCAGCACAACCCTCAGGTGGCCCTGGGTGGCTGGGCAGCTGCCATCCAAAGCTTGCCTGCATCTTAGGCTGGCCCTGAGCAGCTGTGCAGCTACCATCTGAGACTTGCCTGTGCCTCAGGCGTTTGCTGGGCAGCTGACATCTGAGGCTTGGGCTGGCCCTGGGCAGCTGGGAAGCCACCATCCAAGGCTTGCCTATGCCTCGGGCCGGCCTTGAGTGGCTGGGGGACTGAGTGGACTGGGGGATTCCAGAGGCAGGCATGCAGCACAGCCGGGCTCGCTGAGGAGACTAGGCACCACCATCTTGTGGCTGTGGGCACTGCCATCTTTGAGAGCATGGCATTCAATTAGCATGTTCCCTCCTTATTGGCTGTGGGTGCCGCCATATTTGTAAGAGTGCAACAGTCAATTAGCATATTCCCTCTTTATTGGTAGGATGTTCCACAAAAAACACACAATACAGCATTTTTCACAGAAAGCATCCAGGTTTTCCTAATCAGTAAGAAAGTGACTAGAACTCATGTTCCTGGTGATCTTCTTCCATAGGTCCTGCTGCACTGGTAGAGAACATCACTTAAAAGCCTACAGTACTGTTACATATCCTTCTTAACAAACACTTCATTAGAATGGAAGTTCTCTCTGGGGCAGAGGCCTCCCCTGTCTCCTGACTGCTAAGTTTAACATATCTACTTCTGGAGTTAAGAATCCTTTATTCAGAGAAACATGGAAGAGTTCACACAGCTGGTTGTGGTATGAATGGTACCATGTAATTTTGTAAATTTATAAAAGGGTTTTTTTCCCTGCAAAAAAAACACAACACAAACAAACATTAAAATGTTTTTGTTTTTCCTTTATATAGACTCTGAGCCTTTCCAGAAGTGTAGGAAATCTGTTACTCTGAAAGAATTTGTGATCTAATGCTCAAATAATCTACTGGAGGATTTTGGATGTAAAAACGTTTTTTAATGTGTTTTTCAGATGTCTATTGACCTTTTGAAATTTTCCCTCCACTTAATTTTAAGGCTCTTAGATTGACTGATTTGAATAAAAAAATTAATGAAGTAAAATTTTTGAATTGAATAAACCAAAAGAACCTAAGTCTCCCTAGCAAGCCACTGTTAATATAGCAAAAAAACAATTTCTGGAAACTCAGTACCCAAATTGTGATATGTAATAGGTGGGGAATGGTGTGTTGATTGAAATATTATGTTAATATAGAGCTACATGCAATATAACCTATTATAATAAAAGTGTTATATGCTAATTAGACTGGACAGCTGAACGACTTTCCGGATGTCCTCCCGGAAGAGGCTGTGGCAGCTGGGGCCAAGGCAGAGTCAGTTAGGGGTGATCAGGCAGGCAGGTGAGTGGTTAGGGGTGATCAGGGTGGCAGGCAGGGGAGCGATTAGGAGCCAGCGGTCCCAGATTGCACCTAATCCTCTGAGGGGTCCCAGATTGTGAGAGGGTGCAGGCCAGGCTAAGGGACTCCACCACCACCACCACTCCCTGTGCACAAATTTTGTGCACCAGGCCTCTAGTGTCCAAATAGAGAAAAGTAGAATCTATTAACACAAACTATGCTAAACATAATTTTAATGTTTCTTTAATTCATTACTCTGGTTAGGAGTATTACATGTCTTATTTTTATGTTTTATAAAATATTTTTCTTAATAATTTCTTTTACAATTTATAAATATTCTAAATTGTATTAATACCTCTCATGGTGTTCAACATATAGTTGTCACATAAATTTACTGAGACTGCCAACAATTGATATACTTCAGGAAACAAAATTCTGATTGATTCTGATCTGTTTCTTTCAGAAAGGTCACCACCCATGTAATGGAATTTTATCTGATTCTGTAGATCAGATTTCTTCATTCTGGATATTGCGGTAACAATATAGGAAGTATGCATAACTTCTCATTTCTACAAGTAGGCTTGAGTGCTGAAGGAAGAAATTTTTTAAGCTACAGAAGAATTCATTTGGTACCTTTTATGGAATCCTGATTTTGTTTTGAATTTTTTGATAACCTTTTACTAAAGTTATGAACACTAAAAGAACTTATCTCATTGGGCAAGTCCACATTAATAAGAATGCCTAGAAGAGGATCGATTCTTCAGACCCGGACCCACTGGTTGCTGTTGGGTCTTGCTTTACTCTGCAGTTTGGTACTGTTTTTGTATCTTCTGGAATGTGCCCCACAGACTGATGGAAATGCATCTCTTCCCGGGGTCATTGGAGAAAATTATGGTAAAGAGTATTATCAAGCCCTACTACAGGAGCAAGAAGAACATTATCAAACCAGGGCAACCAGTCTGAAACGCCAAATTGCCCAACTAAAACAAGAATTACAAGAAATGAGTGAGAAGATGAGATCATTACAAGAAAGAAAGAATGGAGGGGCTAATGGCATAGGCTATCAAGGCCACAAAGAACAAGCACCTAGTGATCTGTTAGAGTTTCTTCATTCCCAGATTGACAAAGCTGAAGTTAGCATAGGAGCCAAACTACCTAGTGAGTATGGGGTCATTCCCTTTGAAAGCTTTACCTTAATGAAAGTATACCAATTGGAAATGGGTCTCACTCGCCATCCTGAGGAAAAGCCAGTTAGAAAAGACAAGAGGGATGAATTGGTGGAAGTTATTGAAGCTGGCTTGGAAGTCATTAATAATCCTGATGAAGATGATGAACAGGAAGATGAGGATGGTCCCCTTGGAGAGAAACTGATATTTAATGAGAATGACTTCATAGAAGGTAATGTGAAAAGTAGTTATGTTAGTATGACAAAATGCTATTATTGTATGCTGGTAAATCAGTAATTTTCCATTCTATTAAAACATTTAAGTGTTTACCCACTGCATTCCACCAAAAGTTTGAAGTGGCTTTTTGAAAAAAGTTATCATATGATTGTAATAAAGTAGAGAATAAGAACCAGAAATAGAATAAATCTAAGCTTATACAGAACACTTCTACCCAAGCTGAAAACTCTTAGGGCTGTTTCTGTATTAATGTGTGAATGTATTTGCATTCCTCTCTTATCTGGTTTTGTTCATTCCTTATATTTTTTCAACAATGTATGAACTAAGACTCAAGATTCAAAAACCACTTGAAAAAGTAATGAAAAAAACTAATTTTGTAGATTAGTGGGTTATTCTCTTAATTTGTGAGAACATTGAGGAGGCATACATGGATTTAAAACGCATGTTTGGCATTTGGAAAAGTATTTTCCTGATACAAACTGCAGAAAGGGCATGGGACTTTTATATATCAAGATGGGACATGACTCAAAAGTTGAGGACACTGCTATGAATTTGAGATATTTGTTGATTGATATAAACAGGAATAATTACAGATTCCCGCTCATCTCCATCTTAATATTCTGTGCTGGATATTTAATTACAGGCTTAAAACCATTTTAGATATAAATCTTTCTCTTTGCTTGACTAAACAGTGTAGTGATTTTGACCCTGAGTCAGCATGGATGTCACTTGCTATACTCTAATGTATGGCCTTGAGACCTTTGGAGGCCATCAGAGCATTATACTTTTCTGGAATTTCAACTGTCTTCTCCCTGTTGCCACCTCTTTTTTCTGCTGTCACTTCCTGCCATTTTCAGTGGGTTGCTTCTCTCAGAATTCTTCGTTTTTCTGCAAGCTCAGCGTTTTGTCTTTTCACTCTATGTTTGTAGTTTATAGCAGAATTGAAAGCTGCTGAGAAAGATAACTACGTAACATGTAAAATGTCTTCACATTTCCCTGAAAAGAAAGGAACCAGTGCCAGTTTTCTATTCTGCTTATAACTTTCCTTGGATTCTGTCACTTACAAGATTTTTCTCTGGGTGGAGTATATTTTGTCCCTCGTTTTTCCTCCACTGTGATACTCCCTCACCAAAAAATAATTACTGACAACTGAGCAATTCCTATTCCTCTTTCCAGACTTAAGCTTAGAAGACACTTCTGGGAAGTCATCTCCAACCTGCGAGTCTAAGATAACAGTGCTTCCTGTGTGTGCTTGTAACCTCTGCCTGTGTCTCCTCTCATAGTTCTTGTCTTATGGTATTGCTCATTTCCTGATTTGTGGTTCCTGCTTGACTGTAATTCTCAGGAAGAGTGGGAACGGCCTACCTCCGTTTTATTCCCAGACACTGACTCACACATCTGTAGGTCTAACCTTTCTCCTCAGTGTCACACTTAAAAATCAGCCCATTAGACTTCCATGTTTTTCTCCCAAAGGCATCTCAAGTCACCATGTTTAAATCTATACTAATGTTTTCTTTGTCTGACTTTACTGTATTCGGAGTGTGTGTGTGTGTGTGTGTGTGTGTGTGTGTGTGTGTGTACATGTGTGTATCACTGTATTATTACTTCTTTATTTTTCTGTCTCCGTCACTAAATTGACCTTTACTCAAAACTGGGACCATGTAGCCCTCTTTATACCACCAGTGATTGACACAAAGGCATTCAATTTATTTTTGTTTTTTTGTTGAGTTGAACCAAGCAATAGAAATTTGAACTCTCAGCACTAGAATTTAATATTGCTAGAAATAATTTCCTTCTTTTCATCAGATGGTCAATAGGCTTTACTATTTAAAAGTCACATGTAAAAAGGAGTAATTGTCATATAAAGCCTATGTTATAGATGGAATAATAATATACAGAGCCATGAACATTGTTTAACATCTCCTTTTATAAAGAAACTAGAGGTTAGTGCACAAAGTTCATGCACGGGTAGGGACCCTAGTGGCTGCCAGCGGCTGGCCAGGGCCTCCCTTCCCTGGCTGCTGGCAGCCAGGGGTTACACGCCACCCCTGGTTGATGGTCAGCGCTCGTCATAGCGATCAATTGAACTCCTGGTCAGTCGAACTTCTGAGGGGACACTTTGCATATTAGGCATATAGTTATCCCCACTATTTATATATATAAATAGTGGGGATAAATAGTGGGATAAATATTTTCACAAACAGATAAAAACCCTACAGATCTGGTTTCATACTTTTGATCTTCGAGTAAAATCAGTATTCACATTGAATGTATAAACTTTGACATGGAGACATCTTTGTCCCTTACTCTTTCCTTTAGGTTATTACCGCACCGAGAGAGATAAGGGCACACAGTATGAACTCTTTTTTAAGAAAGCAGACCTTATGGAGTATAGACATGTGACCCTCTTCCGCCCTTTTGGACCTCTCATGAAAGTGAAGAGCGAAATGATTGACATTACTAGATCAATTATTAACATAATTGTGCCACTTGCTGAAAGAACTGAAGCATTTGTGCAGTTTATGCAGAACTTCAGGTAACTCTCGGGGCTTAATGATTTTTGGCTTAGTGTGCCTGAAAAAAATACACTTTACTTATTTATCTTCACTGAGTATGATTACTTAGAATTACAGGATAATTTTATAGGCTTTAGGCAACTTTACTTTTTTATATATTTTTTTTAAAACATGATTAGCTTATTGTGTTTTTGACAATTTGAATTGTGAAGTAAATTGAGGATGACAACTATGAGAAACTAAATTTGATGACCCTTATAAATGTGTGTGAATTCTTTTTAGGGCAAATTGAATTTTTAAAAATAACTATAGAGGCATAATTTCCATATAATAAAATCCACATATTTTACGTATATGGGTTTCATAACTTTTGACAAATGTATACTCATGTAGCTACCTTCCTATTCAAAGTATAGAACATTACTATCTCCTCAGAAAATTCCCTTAAGGACAATTTGAATTTTAAAATTAAAATAAAATTTTAAAATACAAACATTTAACTAAAAATGGGAGAACGTTATTCTATGTTGGGAAGCAGAGGCAAAGAATTTTTTACCACTTAATTTGGATATTTTAAAATCAAAGATAACCACATATTAGAATAACTATCTGGAGAGTTTTGCTTTTTTATTCTAATAATTGCCATGTTTTAAATACTGTAATATGCTAGTTTTGATGCTTTGTATACCCAGTCTTTATACTCATATTGAAATTGATGGATTTAAAAGTTAACACTCTTGTGTATCAGAATATCTAGAAGTCATTTTTGAAATAGCTCACTTGAGACCTCTTTTTTTATTGCCTTTCTTGGAATTACCTTCAGAAGCTACATTATTCTTTACAGTAAATCTCACTCATGGCAAATATTCCTTGAGGATAGGTGTAACTTCTGATATTAGCCAGTCTGAAGACAAAGTAATTCTCAAATCAGAAGATGAGTATTTATTTGTCTCTGAACTGATTGGACTTACTTTTTTGAGTAGCTTGTATTTTGCTTGTGAAGGCAATACCAAAGCAAAAGTTCCCAAACTATTAATATTTTGAAAATTGGCAATGTTGTTGGAGTGCTCCCATGGCCCTTCCAGTACTGCACTCGTTTAAGATATACACATTACTATTCATTTGCTATGATGCCTTAATAATTCAACAGTATTGCCACTTTTATATTTACTTACAACTTCGTGTGATTTTCTTTTAAATCAGTAATGCCTCACTCATTTTCTTGTTGAAGCTTCATGTGATTGCTTTCTGAATGAGCAGAGCCTCATATATTTTCTTGAATGAATTTTATTTTTCAATTCTGTTAGGGATGTATGTATTCATCAGGACAAGAGGATTCATCTCACAGTGGTGTATTTTGGTAAAGAAGGACTGTCTAAAGTCAAGTCCATCCTAGAGTCTGTCACAAGGTAGGTGAGTTATGTTCACTTAGAAGTCCTTGATAGATAACATTAGAAGAGTGAGAATGTCAGATATTTAATGAGTTAATTTGGAATAGATGCTGTTTAAAAGTTGGCTGAGCATGTGAGTGGTGCTGATAAGTTCCTCATTTCACTTCTGAGTTCACTCATGCAACTCTAAATGCCCCATCTTCACTAACTTCCTAGCAGAAGCCTGGCATGATCAGGGAGCTCTCACTCTGCAGCCCACTCACTTTCTGTATGTTTGCCTTCATTTATTACTTCTTTATTTCCTCCTGTGAACTCTTTCTCTTTTTCTAAATCTAATCCCTTCACTTTGATATCATCTCTTGAGCTTGTCTCTTGTTACCTATCTTTCCATTTCCCCAAGTTCCTTCTTCTCACCCTGTAAGCTCTCCCCTTATCCTTACGACACTTCCACCGGACTCTACAGTATCCAGTAGCTATTGTTAGGTTCCTGTCCTTTCATTGCTAAACCTCACAGGACAGTAGTTCTCTAACCAAACAACTCATATAGTACCTGGCACATAGTAGGTGTTTAGAGGTTAGAATGAATGAATTAGTAATTCTTTAATACTCCATTATTAATTCCGTAGCTCCTGTCAGAGGTTAGAATGAATGAATTAGTAATTCCTTAATACTTCATTATTAATTCCGTAGCTCCTCAGCCTTTTCATCTCTAAGGCCTACTTGCCAAATTAAGCTTTTTCTCTGTCATCTTTTTAAAAATATATATTTTATTGATTTTTTTACAGAGAGGAAGGGAGAGGGAAAGAGAGTTAGAAACATCGATGAGAGAGAAACATTGATCAGCTGCCTCCTGCACACCTACGACCGGGGATGTGCCTACAATCAAGGTGCATGCCCTTGACCAGAATTGAACCTGGACCTTTGAGTCTGCAGGCCGATACTCTATCCACTGAGCCAAATCGGTCAGGGCTCTGTCATCCTCTTTTATCACTTTTTTACATTTGACACCTGATGAATACTTTCTTCTTGAAACATTCCTCTGCTCTTTGTAAAATATAAATAAATATTTTGTAAATATTTTATAATGTAAGATATTAAGTTGATTTTCTTTTCTGGCCACACCAATTCTGTATCCTTCTTTGCCTTTCTGCTAGTTGTAGACTTTCCATAGAAATCCAGATTTAGTTGGCCATTCAACTAATTTTCACTGAGTCCCACCAGCTGTGTTCAAGGTACCCTGCTTAGGAGCCTAACTGGGGAGTAGAAATAGGACTGGGCATGGAAGAGGAAATTGTAGTCCCTATTTCTAAGGGCTCTCTCATAGCACTGATGTGTAAAAACAAACATTGCCTTCTCCTCCTGTTGGCGCTCTTTCCGTTCAGACTAAGACCATTCTCATGATCCCCTGAGATGTTGATGTCTGAGAGCCCACATCTTTCACTCATTCTCTGCCTCTAATTACCGTATTTTTCGGACCATAAGACGCACCGGACCATAAGACGCACCAGTTTTTAGAGAAGGGAAATGAAGAAAAAAAGATTCTGAAACAAATAGTGTCCTAAAATATTTTATGTGCATTAAAACCCAACATCACAGTCATAAACACATGTAATCAACCCTGTAAAGTAAACAGCAGCATTTAGAACCATTTTAGAGCCGGGCAAGCACACAGAGACCACACAGAGCCGGGCAAGTAAAAAAACTTTTTTTTTAAAGTATATGTGTAGGCTATATTTGGACCATAAGACGCAGGAACTTTTTCCCCCCACTTCTGGGGGGGAAAAGTGCGTCTTATGGTCCGAAAAATACGGTAGTCAGTTCCTCTTCTAGGTCCTTTTCTTGCTGCTGTCACCACCCACCTTCCCTCCCCCACCCCCTTCTTCTCTTCCCTCCTCACCATTTTCAGATCACCTACTAAGTGCCAAGCACTCACTGGTATTCCTTCAGCTGCATTAATCAAAACTCCCCTGTGGTAAATGATGGAAACCGGTCCTGAGCTTGCTTAAGGAAAATGAGTGTTATTGAAGACTCTTGAATAATTCGCAGAACTAAAGAGGTCATTACAACCAAATTTGGAGATGAAAAACCAAATCCTCTTTGATATCTTTAGGTACTGGAACCAGAGACTTGAAAATTATCAAAATTCTCTTGTCTTCTTGTCTATTTTTCTTTGCATAGTGACTTCATTCTCCTCTTGGATATTTCCTCCTCACGTGAGGTATATGGCTGTTGGCGGCTCTGGGCTCATTTCTTCTCAGTTTTGCCATCAGGGAGGAAAGAGCTTTCTCCCGCATCCAGTTGACGAAATCCCAGGGAGGAACCTTGCCCTCTCTTGAACCAATCATTATGGCCAGGTGGCGGTATTGTGATTAGCCTAGCTTGAGTTTGGACTATGATTCTAGGAAATTACTATGGTTGGGGTGCTCTATGATTACTTCCTCTACTTGCTGCTGGGAGTGTGACGTGTTGATCAGCAGTTTCCCAAAAGTAGGGAAAGATGTATATCTGCTAAGAAGGGGAGCATGGCCACTCAGCACTTGGAGTCCACTCCATACACTATTTAAGCCTTTGCTTCCATCTCTTCATTTCCCCGTCCATATTATTATAAGAATGTTTTTTCTGAAAGGTTCCTTTTTGATCCGACCATACTCTAGTGCAGCAGTTCTCCAGTTCATCAGAGACACCTGGAAGGCTTATTAAGACACAGATGCTCAGCTCCTCCACCAGCATCTGATCCAGGAGTCTGGGTGGGACCCAAGAATTTGCATTTCTAACAGGTGTGCAGGGGAAGCTGATGCTCCGTTGCAGGGATTTCACAGTGAACCACTGTCCCGATGGCAAAACCCTGACTCTTCCTTGCCTTTAGGACACTGACCAAGATCTTTACTTTCTTCTCATGGAAAGTGCTCCTCAGTCTGACCCTTTTCTGATTTTCTCTCATTGTTCCCATTCTTTGCCAATTTGATTTGTCTGACCCCTGTTCTTTAAAATGTTTTATACTTTCTTCTTACCTCATCGCCTTTGAGAATAATTAATTGGAACAACCTTTACACTCGCCACTGAATTCAGGATTTTAACCAAGGCATAACTTAAATTCCAATTCTAACATCATCTCTACTCCAGGTAGAAGCAAACTTTGTTTCTCAGAACTGCTGTTTATTCATTTACTCAGCAAACATTTACTGAACTCCTGCTCTATGAGGGACACTGTGTCCATAGTAATGAGCAAAACAGAATCCCTGCTCTCATGGAGTTTACATTCCAGTAGGGAGACACTCAAATATGTCTGGTGGGACTGAGAAAAGCAAAGCTGGACAAGGGGATAGAGACGAAAGAGAAGGAGGTTGGAGCTACTTCACATAAGGTATGTGGGGTAGCTCTCTAAGAGGAATTTGAGCAAAGATCTGAAGAACTCAATAGAAGAGCATTCTTTGTGTGTATCATTCATGTGGAATGTATTATTTATGACCAAACATTATGGCTGTTTTCCCATGTGTACATTTCTTATCTTCTCCAATAGGCCTTTAAGATTCTGAAGGGCAGTGGCCCCTCAACATTTAAAAACCTCACACCACCATCATGTTGCCACACATGTGGGCATTTAGTGAATATATATCCCTGATGATGATTATACACATGAAGCTGATGATTTCCTTTCCCTATATGAATGTAGAACCAACATAATAATAATATCTGAAATGTAACTGTAAGTTGTAATGAAGGAAGAGAGTTATTAAACTTTAAGTGGGACTTATAATTTGTTATATGTGCTTTCCTCATAGTGAGTCTAATTTTCACAATTACACCTTGGTCTCATTGAATGAAGAATTTAATCGTGGACGAGGACTAAATGTGGGTGCCCGAGCTTGGGACAAGGGAGAGGTCTTGATGTTTTTCTGTGATGTTGATATATATTTCTCAGCCGAATTCCTTAACAGCTGCCGGTTAAATGCTGAGCCAGGTGCGTAAAATGATAGTAGATGAGCTGAGTGTAGGTCAGCATGTTGCATATTTTGAATTAAGTTAATTATGTTTTATTAAAGTTATATTTTAATATAATTTAATACTTTATATAAAGGTATAGTTTAACAATATTATGTCAAAAAGTAAAAATTTGTCCCTCTGAAGTTCATACCCCTTGTTCTCTTATGGCCAAATTCTAATGTCTACATTTGAATGCAAACAAACAAATGCAAAGAAATAAAAAGTCTTGAAATTGGCAAGGAGGAAGCAGCACCCATCAGAAAAAGAGGCAAGCCAACTGTGTGGAGATATGGGAGAGTCAAAAGCACTCCGTGTCAGGTGATGGCACCAGTACACACACAGCATTCACACATGCTTGGTCTCCAGACGGTGCATTTGGCATGATTTACTATATTTTGCTTTATGTTATAGATATTTTTAAGATGTATGAGCAAACGGTATTTTTATAAATCAAATCTATAAATGCTTTTTAAATCTTTTTAATGTAATTTAAGTCTTGAAAAGGTTTCCTGTATTTTAAGAATCTCATAGTAGGGTTTTTCAATGTAGAACTATTTATATCATACAGATTATTTCCACCTTATTAATTTGGTGGGATGTCAGGAACTCTCTTAGAGTCTATTGAGTAAGCAAGGGTTAGGTTTAAGACAGCCTGAAGTTCAAAATGTGTAAGTTGAAGGAGATACTTGCTCAATGTGAAAGAAATGTTTTTATATCCAGAAATAAATTTGCCTCTGGGAGACTGAGCTCCTCATCCCTAAGTGGGTTTTAAGGAAAGTGAGATTAGTATCTGCTAGGATTCTTGTAATAAGAAGGCTACTGCCTTACATACAGGGTCCTTGACAACTACTGAGCACTTTGTATTATCTCGTCTGATTGAGGCCAATCGGAGCAAGGGGGTCCCTGTTAAGAAGAGATTGGATAGTTAGCTTTTAAGGTTCCTTCAGTGCTCTCAAGCTGAATGATAATGACAAGAGTTTCTGCAGGGGCTATTATATCAGGTATTTTTTATTCTTACCTTCCCAACTTTTCCAAATCTTGTTCAAATATATCTGTAGTTCTGTGTTTTCATTATTTTCTATACAGTATCCATTCTCTGTTCAGTATTCTTTGGATTTACTGTTTCTATGGTTAATTTTGAAGGGTGAATTCAACGTAAGTTTCTTGGTGACTGCCAAAGTTAACCTGTATATTCCTGCTAATTAGATGAAATAATGAGTAATAAATGGCTCACCTAATGAATAGCTGAGAGAATACCTTTTGTATCTGTCCAAAGTCAAGGGAATAAATGTGTGGAGCACCCTTTAGTGTGTTTTATTTCCTCTGTTGTTTTTCAAGGTTATAGTTCCATAGCCTTGGGACTACTGATATGTTATAAAGTCATCATCATGTTTATCAAATCAGTAGGATGTTCAGTAGCCTGAATATTAATAAAATACAATATTGATATAATAAAATTGCCATATGGGATCAAAGAAAAACTTTAACAAAATATTAGTAGATATTATAATATAGATCAGTCCTTCATTTTATGACTTCTTTGTGTGATATAAATGTACATTTTAATTTATAGGTAAGAAGGTGTTTTACCCTGTGGTGTTCAGTCTTTACAACCCTGCCATTGTTTATGCCAATCAGAATGCGCCCCCTCCTGTGGAGCAACAGCTGGTAAGACTATTGCTGTATTATGAAAGGCCCCAAAGATCCTTTCTAGGTTCCTTTATATTTGTTCCACAAGTAGTTAACAAAATTTCAATAAAAAGCTGTAGTTATGCCCTAATTGGTTTGGCTCAGTGGATGGGGTCCCAGGTTCGATTCCGGTCAAGGGCATGTACCTTGGTTGCGGGCACATCCCCAGTAGTGGGTGTGCAAGAGGCAGCTGATCGATGATTCTCCCTCATCGTTGTTCCTAACTCTCTATCCCTCTCTTTTCCTCTCTGTAAAAAAGCAATAAAATATTTTTTTAAAAAAGAAGAAGAAAGCATATTTGTATTGGAGAATTAGAGAATTACATTAATAGTGTAAAGTTTGAGACATTTCTGTAAAATGGCAGTTGAGAAAAAGGATTCGTGGAGGAGAGAACAATCTAGGACATGTTCAGGAGGACATGCTGGAATATGTGTGCTTGCTGCTTTCTCCAGGGGGGTGCTAATCGGCAGTCATCTCAGAGATTGGCCTGCAGTCTGAGGCAGTGTGTATAGTCCTTGGAGCCAGAAAGTTGGGGCAGGATACTGAGAATATGGAGTTGTAGGGAGGATAGGGAGCCTCAGAATGCGAAGATGAGCTACTGTTGATACGTTGTACCTTAGTTCATGTTCAGCCCCCTTTCTCCCACCCCCTTCCACTGTTATTGGAGAGAGGCCCCTGTAATCATAGCTAACAGCCATGGGTTTTGAACAATGATTTTTGTAACAAAAGTGAGTAGCACTTAACTAAGACCAGCCAGACACTTGGGGAAAACCAATAACATGAAAGAGGCAGGGACTTTGTCACCTCTTATTCACTGCTGTGTCCCAGCTCCCAGAACTATGTCCACAGATTAAACACAGTGCATGTGCAGTGGAGTATGAGTAAAATAAAAGAGGTTTATCAGGCTTCAACTTTTATTTGATTCTGGGGCCTCAGTATCATCAAAGCCCTGAGTTTCTTTCTTTGCTTGGGCTTCAGAAGTGTTAGCTTTATTTCAAAGCGGGTTTCCCTCATGCTGTAAAAAGACTGTAGCAGTTCCAAATGTTGCTATACGCTACACCTGGAATTGGCAAACTTAATCTGTATAAAGCCACATAGAAAATACTTGGGGGTTTACAGGCTATACAGTCCCTGTTGCAATTATTCAACTCTACCATTGTACCATGAAAGCACATAGGAAATTTGTAAACAAATGAGTATGACTGTATTCCAGTAAAAGTATTTACAAAACCCGGTGGCAGGCCAGACTCAGCCTGGAGGCTGAAATTTGCTGACTTCCCTACACCATCCAAAAAAGTGCAAGTGTCTTTTCTAGTAGCTTTCTCAAAAGGACAAGGAGGCTTGTTTCTAAAGTTCTCAACAACACTCCCCTTTTTTCTAATGTCCAGTTATGAACCAATTCCTACAGTAAGTGGGGTGAGACTGTCATATTGGTATAGAGTCCTCATTGCCCCGTCTGAAGGTAGAGGTGGAAGTAGTTTAGTTGAAACTTACGGTTGCATGGGACCCAAACTCTATATAATCAGGAAGAGAGTAGGGGAATGGATGCTGGGTAGGCACCAAATAAGGCCCACTCTGTAGAACTGATCACAGTGTATTACAGTGTGCGCATCTGTTGTGCTCCTGGATTGAACGAGGCCCTTGAGATCAGGCACCACAGTTTGATTATTAGTAACCTCGGCTTGCATTTTGTACAGGGCTTGAATTCAAATATTGAAAGCGGCCAGATCCTTGCTTATGGGGAATATTTATACGAGGTGTGGGGAAAGAGTAGGTTTATAGTTGTGAGTATGCAAAACACAGAGTTTATTGTATTATTAGTTATTATATTATTTTCCATATAAAAAACTATAAACCTATTTTTCCCCCACTCTATATTTTTTGGTTTTATAAGGATTTAATAATATAAATATATGTTTTCATTATCAGTCATATAAATGACTAGAAAATTATTTGGAAAGCATTAATTTCTAATTGTTGATTAAAACTTTTCCTAGTCCTTAAGGGACTAATTTTATTTATTTATCTTTCTCTACATAAGGTTCACAAAAAGGATTCTGGCTTTTGGCGAGATTTTGGCTTTGGAATGACTTGTCAGTACCGATCAGATTTCCTGACCATTGGTAAGTATGCCTGACATTTAAGGATAGGACTTTATGAATTTATAGTACTTCCTTAGGGCAATTTCTAAAAAGTTTCAGATTTGAGTATTTTTCTATTAAATTATAAATGTCTAAGAATAGCTGAAAAGAGGAGTCTGGATATAGGAAAGGCAACATGAGTTTATAATTATTGTCTTTAAATAGCAAAAATGAGGTTATAAAGATAAAATAAAAGTGTAATATATTATTGTTTCTTTAAAACACTAGTTTTGATATCTGTGACTTGTTACGATGTTTGCAGTTGATTTGAGTTCTCTAACAAAAGATCTGTTGTAATCATGGATTGTTACAGCAGAAAGTAATGTTGAGTTTTCTAGTCCAAGGGCTTTTGTATTTTTTATTGAGAAATGAAACCCCCTTTAATTGTCTATTGAACTATTAAGCAAAATCCTAGTATCTAAAACAAATGAAAAAACGGCTGCTCTCTCTGACCCTGGTTGAAGTTGGAATGGGGACTAGGAGTTACTAGCTTAGTTCTCTAAGCCAGAAATGACCATAAAGAATTTGAATGAAGCTCTCTGCCCCACCCCGACTCCATTCTTAACCAGCAGAAAACAGTGTCAGCGATAGTTTCAGAAAGCTGGGTAAGACTTCCAGTTATTATAGCAAAATAAGTGAACACTTTTTGCCTGCTCCCACAATTACATCAAAACTACAACTAAATTACAGAACAATCACCCTTGAGAACCACCTGAAGACTAGGTAAACGGAACTCCTATATATAAGGAAATAAAGAGAAGCCATGTCGGGACTGTTACCTGGACAGTGTTGTATAACAGGCTAGTTCACATTGTCATGTGAATTAGGAGGGACATTTTGTCCATAGAGGTCTCCCCTGATCCCAGCCCCACACCAGACTCTGCAGCCCAGACCACCAGTGCTAGGGGCAGCAGCTTAAGAAACACCAACGACAAACAGGGAGGAACTGAATTATCAGGCTTTGGGGGTGAGCATTGAAGGGGCAGGTCTGTCCAAGACAAGTGCTGGCAGGCACCATTTTCCTTTGTTGAGCCTTTCCCCCACCCAGCCTGCAGATGACAAATCTGAGACTTCCGTGAAACTAGATAACACAATTCTCACCACACTGCTGATGCCCTGAGACCTGCCCCACCCAACCTGTGCACAACATCTTTCAGGAACTGTTCCTCACAAGCAATGGGCTGCAATCCATGCTGTGAATTCCCTTAAATCTCTGAAAAGTCCTCATACCCCAAACAAGCATCAGTGGCTGGAGCATGCCCTGTACTTCTTGCTAAGTGATCTCAGCCTGGCACTAAAAGCAGCCTGCCTTGATTCATGGCATATCCACATCAGGTACCTCCAAGTGCAGAACAGGCAGCTACCAAGGACTGATCACTTTGTACCTCCTACCAACTGGCCTCAGGTAGGCTGACATGGGCCTGCACTGGAGCCCTCCCAAGAGGTCCCAGGACCAACAGAGCCAAATGCCCTCTTTCTTGTGTGGAGACCACACTAGAGCACCAACCAATTAGCTTCAAAAAGACACACCAAAGGGTGGGCTCCAAAGAAATCAGTCACACTACAGCAAATCCCATTTTGAGGGGTCAACTGCCACTCAACAGCCTATCTGTAATCACAGCCAATCCTCACAGCCAGTTAGCTAGAGAGTCAGTTCTACCTACTGAAGTGCCAACAGCAATCAAGACTTAACTACAATGCCTGAGAACACACAACCCACACAAAGGACAGCCCCGGAGCACCTGGCTCAGGTGACTAGGAAGACAGTGCCACTGGGCCCCACAAGAAACCTACTACATAAGGCCAACCTGCCAAGACTTGGAGATGTAGCAGATCTACCTAAAATGTAGTCTTCCAGATATAGAGGTGAAAACACTATAAGGATGCTCAAGAACTTAGGGGAAGAATAGATGAACAAGTAAGACCTTACACAAAGGGACAGAAATCATAAAAAAAAAGAGCAAGTCCGAGGCCTAAGTGGAAGTTACACTTACCTCTTCCCAATACCAAACTGGAATTACAATAAAAATATGGAACAGTCAACCTGAATAACCAACTGAAGACTGGCTGAATAGAATGCTAATGCTCACAGGTTTACAGAAGAAGCCACATAGAGACTGGCAGGTGGGGCAGAGGCACAAAAAGGGCTGCAGCCACTTCCGCTGGTGGTGGCTGAGATTCCTGAGGGGTAGCTCAGCTGCAAAGGTTCTCTCTTAGGACTTTGTGTCAACCCCACACTGTTTCCCCAGACCACCACGTGTTATGTGGAAGAAGCACCCACATAACCTCTGGCTGTGAAAATCAGCAGGGATTCTGACTAGTGGGGCAAGACAAAAGTCTGCTAGAGACCCAGGCACCCTCTTAAAAGGTCATCACACAAGATCTCATTCTCTGCCACTAACCCTGGGCTCTGGCAGAAGGAAGGCAGAACTGATGAGAATTCTGTGAGGATAGACTGGGTTTTATGGCTCCAGAGAGAGAGCTGCAGGGACAGCTGCCAGGGTCCCTGTGCTTAGTTCCTTTTACACACTGCAGATGCCATCTTTCTTATGTGGAGCTCACCTTTCTATATGACATCAGCCTGGGAGAATGCAATAATCCCACCAGCTCATACCCTGCAGAGGAATTGGCTGCTGGTCCTAGGTGTATATATCTGGGCAGACTCGGGGCATGTCAGTGACTGAGTTGTGTGGGCAAAGGCCATTTTCCAACCATCCTGGTGGTGTGACTAGCACCTCCCACTAAGGGGAGATCCACCAGCCTCACCCTTTGGATTTTTGGTGGTCCTGCACTGCCGATCTTCAACTCTGGGAGATCCAGGCAGAATCTTGCACATGCTGAGTTGTGTGACTCTAGGCCAGGGCCATTTTTCCCTCACACATCTGACCATTGCAGAGCCCTCCCTTCACACAGCCAAATCTTGGTCTCTTTGGGCATCATAAACTCTGCTGGCCTCATCCTCTGACTCCCTGACACCCCACCCTATCACAAAGCTTTGCCGGCACTGACTAGTTGTAGTACTCTTGTTGTACTCTGGGACTTTTGCTGAGTGGCCACAGACTCAGCACTAACATGGAGGTTGAACCTGTATTGAGCTGGTGGACACCACTCGCCCCCGCCTGGTGACTCACTGAAAACCTAGCCCACACAAGCAAGTACCACCAGAGGCTCCTTCGGAAACTAGCCTAACAGGCAACCAACCGGGGAAGCAGGTAGAGGCAGATGCATTGGCCTTGTACTGACCTGCCCTCAGGCTTCATGCTGGTGGAAGTTATCCTTGGGGTACAGTTTGGTTCTCATGCAGAGCAGCCACAAAGTAGATCACTTTGTAACTTCAAACAAGTTGCCCAGGGCCAGTCACAATCAGCTTCAGCTACTGATCTGCACCGGACTCCCTCCCAGGAGTCCTCAGAACCAACACACCCAGTTGAGAGCTTCACACAACATCAGAGCAGGACCAGCTAGCTTCAGAAGTGGCACATCCAAAGGGAGATCTCAACAGGCTCCAGAACTTACTGAATCAAATGCTGCTGTGTGTGTGGTCAGCACACAGGAACAAATACAAAGAGGCAGCAAGATGAGGAGACAGATGGCATGCCCCAAGTGAAAGAACCATAAAAAGAACTGGTCAGAAAGTAGAATACAATATCTGAAATGAAGGATACACTAGAGCCCTAGCTGGTTTGGCCCAGTGGATAGAGCATTGGCCTGTGAACTAAAAGATCCTGGGTTTGATTCCAGTCAGGGACACATGCCCGGGTTGTGGGCTCAATCCCCAGTGGGGAGCTTGCAGGAGGCAGCCATTCAATGATTCTCTCTCATTGTGGATGTTTCTATCTTTCTCTCCCTCTCCCTTCCTCTCTGAAATCAATAAAAATAAATAAAAAAGTATTTTTTAAAAAAGAATACACTAGAAGGAATAAACAATAGGTTAAATGAAGCAGAGGATTGAATTAATGATATGGAAGACAAGGTAACAGAAAACACCCAATATAGTAGCAAAAAGAAAAGAAAAATTAGGATAGTTTAAGGGACCTTTGGAACAACCTGAAGTGTAACATCATAGAGGTACCAGAAGGACAGGAGCCAGAGGCATTGAGAATCTATTTGAAGAAATACTCTTCGTGCTTCTTAAAAAAGTTTTTTGTTCAGCTCAGACTAGTCTCACTTTAACTCCCATTTCCTGTGCCCCCTCTAGTTAGCCCTCTGCCCCATTACTCCGTCAGAATGGTCTGCATGAGGGTATAAGTGATATTTATGGTTCATTTTATGTTCTTAACTGAGCAGCTGTATATACTTGACTGTTTCTTCCTCAAGACACTCTTCACTCACCACTGTGATATTTTCTCCCTCCTCTGGGGCCATTTCTTAGTCTCTTATCTTTCTCTGCCTATTTAACCTCTAGATGTTGGCAGTTCTATTTAGACCTGGGCTCTGCTTTCCTTGTAAACCAATCAGTCATTTCATTCATTCCTTGTGGCTTTAAGTCATTTGTGTACTTCTATCTCCAGCTTAGCCATTTCTTCTGTTTTCCCCTCTGGTAAGTGTTATGTAACCCAGAAAAATTTGCATTTCAAAGGATAGAAAGAAAATGTGATAAAATACTAAAGGTGGTGAGATTATGGGTGATATATATTTCCTTCTTCTTTACTTGACTTTCTAAAGATTTTCTATAGATCTTTGAAATTTACAAAGCAATCTCAAATATGTATTTAGTTTAATTTGATTTCAACACCTTAAAAACATTCCTTGAGCACCTAGATGTCACCTGGTAACGGGACTTCTTCAGTTGAACCGTTCTGCTGCCAGGCAGTTACTGAGAGTGTTAATTTTGATCCTACAGGTGGATTTGACATGGAAGTTAAAGGTTGGGGGGGAGAAGATGTTCATCTTTATCGAAAGTACTTACACGGTGACCTGATGGTGGTTCGGACCCCGGTCCCGGGGCTCTTCCACCTGTGGCATGAGAAACACTGTGCCGACGAGCTCACCCCCGAGCAGTACCGCATGTGCATCCAGTCCAAAGCCATGAACGAAGCCTCTCACTCGCACATGGGCATGCTGGTCTTCCGGGAAGAGATAGAGACACATCTTCGCAAGCAGGCATACAGGACAAACAGCGAAGCTGCTGGTTAACGTAACCACTGACACGTTAGTCCAAACCACAAACCAGCACTATTTATTGAGCCTTAATTCCAGTGCCAGACACAGTGCCTCTTTCAAAGAATACATGCTTATCTTCTGTGCTCTTTCTGACATTTTACCTTAGCAGTATAACTTCATATGAGAAGGAAAAGCAACTGTTTGAATGCAAAGCCTGTTTTGTGAGATTATTGCACTATGGAATCATTGATAAATCAAAATTTGCTGTTTGCGTCCCAAAGTAGCTTTGAGTTATTTTGTACCCTGCATCCATGCTCTGAGGTTTCTGGTTGCATCTGGGCTAAGTGATGGAATGTGTTGTGAAATGGTCAGTAAGGAGATCCCATTCCCGTAAAGGTGGAGTTAAGGATAGAGTGTCTGGACAAGGGTCCTTCCTTGACCACTGAGTCAACTTGCTTGGTTTATTTTTTTTAATTTTTTATTGAAGAAAAGAGAGAGGAGAGAGAGAGAGAGAGAGAGAGAGAGAGAGAGAGAGAGAGAGAGAGAAACATCAATCAGTTGTCTCCCATATGCACCCTGACTGGGGATTGAACCTGCAACCTAGGTATGTACCCCAACCAGAAATCAAACCCACAACCTTTGGTTGGTTGGTATAGGGGACTTGTTCCAACCAACTGGGCCACCCAGCCAGGGCTGTGGTTTTTAAAAGGAATTCTTTGGTCAGTTTGCTTGAAGAATCCTTTTTCAGTGAAGCAGAGGTCAATTATATGACACAGCTGAAATCCCCAATCAGGAGGAGACAGAAGTAAAAACTCCTTAACTTCATTTTGCTTGGTCCCCTCAATGTTTGTTTTTAAACAAATGGTTATTAGTGGGAAATACTTAGATGAGAATCCATGACTTGATTAAAACATGAAGTGTTATAACTTTGTCATCATTTTTGGGATTAGAAATCAAGTTGCTGTACACTATTTTGAACAAACTGAAATCCACATGGAAACGTCTTGACAGACACTTATTGTGTTGGAGTGCAGGACACTAGTGTGTCTGGGAGCATCATGTACATGAGCCTGGGCACTATCAGGGTGGGTGGTTCAGAATAGATGAGCATAGCATGGTGCTGTGTGTTTTTGTCTGGTCTCATTTAGCATGGGTTTATATGTATTTACTGTCCTTTTGTCCTAACAAGGTAATATATGCTGCATATGCATTTGCATTATTATAATACTTTGAGAGTTTCATGAAGAGAGAAAAAAACAATGAGATATGCCATAAGATCACACTGATTTGAGAAAAGGGGAAGCAGTATAAAATCTGAATTATAGAATTTTTAAAGAGATATGTATTACTTGCAGATAGAATGATGTTTTGAGGTATAAATTATATTAATGAGACAGATGAATAAGAAATTATTTTCAGATAGGACTATACTATGCTATTTATCACACATGGATCTTTTACCATAGGGTCAATTGCTAGATCCAGAAATTGGAGATATGGTGAAAGGCGTGCATAGATTTTTGAATCTTTGGTTTTTAAAAAGGGACTTGTGCTGTATTCTTTCCATTTGTATAGAAACCTCTGAAAATCACAGAAGAAAAATCATTTCTCTTTTGGCTCAGTAAATCATACCATCTGAAATATTATAAATTCTAAATTTCTTGGTGCTACATGAATTCAATTTTACAATAACTCTTACTAATTATTCATATGTTTTAAGTTGGGATAGCACTTAGGCTTGTTTTATTTTTGAAGATATGTAAAATGTCCTGTGCAAAATTATACTGGCTGTTGTCTCCTTTTTATACAAGTATTTATTATGAAGGCCAGTGAAAAGTGAGGGAAACTAATTATTTGCAAAGGTAAGTTTCAGCTTGTTTCTTGATATAAGCAAATTATTTTATCTTGTTTTTTTTAAAACTAGCTTTTAATTTAAAGATGGAAGCTAAACAATGAAAACAGCACTATGTTTTTGACATTAAACGGTACCAATAAAGTATTTTTTATCAAAAATTAAATGAAAACGTGATAAATTTTCTTTTTGTTGTGAAATATCATAAGTATAGAAATGTGTAAAGCATGTAATTATGTACTTAAAGGGTATAGAACATTACCAGTGAAAGGTCTTCTGTGTGCCCTTCTCATCACTTCCTGATTTTTGTGGTAATTTTTCTTCTTTTTTTTTTTTTTCTTCTAGTTTTTGGGGTTTTTTTTTGTTAATCTTCAACAAAGGGTATTTTTTAAATTGATTTTTAAAGAGTGGAAGGGAAGGGAGAGACAAGAGAAGCATCGATGTGAGAGAGACTCATATGTTGGTTGCCTCCCACACACACTCCAACCTGGGCCAGTGGGCCAGGTATTGAACCTACAACCCAAGTATGTGCCCTTGATAAGGAACTGAACACGTGACCCCTTGGGTGTGTGAGCTGATACTTTAACCACCGGCCAGGGCCACTTGTTTTTCTTCTTAGTTTTCCCAACTGTGTATGTATCTCTACCCAATGAGCTGCTTAGTTTTGCCTGAGGACATGTGTGCTGATTTTAGAGAGTGATGGAGAGAGAGAAAAACAGCAGTGTGAGAGAGAAACATCAATGTGAGGAAGAAACATTAATAGGTTGTCTCCATATGTACCCCAATTGGGGATTGAACTCACAATGTAGGTATGTACTCCCACCAGGAATCAAACCACAGCCCCTTTGCTAAAAGGACAATGCTCCAACCAACTGAGCCACCCTGCCAGGGCCTTTTTGCCTGTTTTTGAATTTATATACATACTACAGGCCTCGGCCGTGGGGGGTCCCCTCAGCCCGACCTGCACTCTCTCACAGTCCAGGACCCCTCTGGGGATGTCCCTGTGGGACCAGGCCTAAACCAGCAATTGGACATCCCTCTCGCAATCCAGGACCACTGGCTCCTAACCGCTCACCTGCCTGCCTGCCTGATCACGCCCAACTGCCCCTTCCAGCCTGATCACCCCTAACTTCCCCCACACACACCTGCTGGCCTGATCACCCCCAACCATCCCACCCTGCCGGCCTGCTCACCCTCAACTGCCACCCCCACCAGCCTGATTGCCCCTAACCTGCTCTGCCTTCACCCCACCATCATGCCTTTGTCCGGAAGGACGTCCAGAAGATCTCCCGGCCTAATTAGCATATTGCCCTTTTATTAGTATAGATTATTTCATTATCTATCTTTAACTTTCAATATTATGCTTTTGAGATTCACTTCAAAATGTTAATTTCAAAATTTTCATTACTGACTAGTATGCCACTGTATGAATACAGTCATAATTGGTCAGTAACAAGCCCTTGTATATGACTGTGGTCCCATAGGATTTAATGGAGAACACCATTGTGTTTTATTTATTTATTTTTTTAAGTCTTCAGGAATATTTAATATTATCCTGTTTTCTCCATTTTTATCCCTCTCATTTTTTTTTCGCTTTTTCTTTTTTTTTCTTTTTTTTTTTCTTTTACATATTTTATTGATTTTTTATTTTTTGCCCCCCTCCCTCCCTATGGTACATCTACATGATGGAATACTATGCTGCCATAAAAAAGAAGGAATTCTCATCATTTGCAGCAACCTGGATGGAATTGGAGAACATCATGCTGAGTGAAATAAGCCAATCAATGAAAGAGAAACACCACATGACCCCACTCATTTGTGGATAATAAAGACCATTGTGTTTTAAACCAATTGTTCCCACCCTAACCAGTTTGGCTCAGTGGGTAGAGCATAGGCCTGCAGACTGGAGGGTCCCAGATTCAATTCTGGTCAGGGGCATATATCTTGGTTGCGGGCACATCCCCAGTAGGCAGGAGGCAGCTGATCAATGTTTCTCACTGATATTTCTAACTCTATCCTTCTCACTTCCTCTCTGTAAAAAAAAATCAATAAAATATATTTTAAAAATAATTCCTCTAAACCAATTGTTCCCAAATGTTTCTTGAAATCCCATTATATGCTTAATTAGCACCGTTCTAGACACAGTGCAACAGCGAACAAGAATAGTGGAGTTTATATTGTAGTTCTGGAGAGAGAAGTTGTAGCACAATGAAGTAGTCACATGTTTGTGGTGATACTGGTGGAAGCAAGCCTGTGCTGCCAGTCATACAATAGAGTACAGTACATATACCTGATATAAATGAGTATGTTACCAATTTATGCACTCTACACTTGTTAGCATTATTTTAGCATGCACTCCCATTTATAGAGTCGGCTGTGAAACGTGCAGTATTGGCCTCACGTCTCACGTTTACTGCTTCTCTTGATTGCACCTTTCTCTCTTGTGCTTGAGGGGGTCCCGTGGTGCAGTGTAGCCTAAGGGCACAGGGTTGTGAGGGCTCAGCAGTGTGCAGTCATGGCCTGGCCTTGGCCCTCACCCTCACTCGCTGATCCCCCAGAGCAGCGCCCAGGCCTGCCAGCTCCGTTCATGGTGAGGGCCCTACACAGTGCTCCACTTTATCTTTCATACTGTATCTTTACCTTTTCTATATTTAGATATGTTTGGATACACAGATACTTACCGTTCTGTTATAATTGCCTCCGGGGTTCAGTAGAGTGCCATGCTGTACAGCTGTAGCCCAGGAGCAATAGGCTATACCATAGAACCTGGGTGTGCAGTAGGCTGTGCCATCTAGGTTTGCTAAGTGCGTTTTACAATTGCACAAGGATGAAATTGCCTGATGATACATTTCTCAGAATGTGTCCTGTCATTAAGTGGCATGTAACTGTATACTACACTATTCCACTATTTATAGATACTTGAGTTGTCTAGTTTTTCATTGCTTGCTTTTGCTCTCAAACTTTTTTGTTTTTTAATATATTTTTTATTGATTTCAGAGAGGAAGGGGGAGGGAGGGAGGGAGGGAGGGAGAGAGAGAGAGAGAGAAACATCAATGATGAGAATTGATCAGCTGCCTCCTGCACGCCCCTACTGGGGATCGAGCCCGCAACCCAGGCATGTGCTAAAATCAAACCTGGAACCCTTCAGTCTGCAGGCTGACGCTCTAGCCACTGAGCCAAACCAGCTAGGGCAGCAGTGTTTTTACAAATACTATTTTACAGGTCTCTTACGGTGTGCGAGAACTTCTCCAGGAGGGAGGATGCTAGGTCATTCATTGTGTGCACATTCAGCTCACTTTCCCAAGTACACACTGTGCGAGAGTTCACTTCACGCT